ATCTGGCGTAATACAGAGTCGTTTAACGTTGTGTTGCTTACTAACGCATGCATCTGTCGTAGTAACTGGGCTGGCTTGAGGTTTCCCAGTTGTATCCCAGATAGTAGAAGCTGGATGCGCTTCTCCTCAGAAATGGCCATACGATAGAGGAGTGCGTCTTTAAGCATGTCGTATAGGTTGTGGGCGGGGATTTTCATATATCTATATCTATATATATATATCCCTGAGGTTGCTCAGCATATCCCGCGGTATCGCGGACAACAGCTTATAGTAACGTGACAGTTGTCCTGTGATGCGAGCTTCATGGAATCGCGATTCCAGAAGTTCAAGGAACGCCTTCGGGTCCTCCGGCATGAACTCTGTTGCCCTGATGTTGGTCCAGGGTGCTTCACTGTCTAGGTGATACTTATGATTTGGGCTAGTCATACTTGAAAGTAAATATATACAATGAGGTTGTCCATCCGATTATAAAAATATAACCGAATAGCGCCTAGCAGAAAAAGTACGTTGGAAAAGTGAAAATGGAAAAATCCAATGGTAAATGAGCGTTAACCCACAAAACTAGAGATAAGTGTAATCTAAAATTATGTGAACGAGAGCGGATAAGTAAAAATACATGTGCGGACAATTTACTAGAAATGTGACCTAGAAAAATTAAAATTTCTCCCGAAAATAAAAAATGCCAATCTAAATAAAATAAAATAAGGGGGCTCACCAATCTGTAGGCACTGGCTTATCGATAACCCGAGCTGATACGTCTGTATCGCAAACGAACGTTCGTAGGAAAACAGAACGAGACGATTCACGAAACGGAGGATGGGTTGTATTGTTACGACCTGCAGAGCAAAAGGGAGATACGGAAGCGTGAGCAAGCATGCGGAAAGTGAAAGCAAACACTTGCTGACCGAAGAGGTAACCTTGGTGGTAAAACAAAGAGATGTAAAGGAGGAAGGATACATGTAGAATGGGTTGGTTGATCACTTCAATAGCCGTCGAAATTAAGTTGCCGAGGAATTTCAGTCTTTCGAGACGCGACAGCACAAAGTTAGCCAGTAGCCAATCGGTTTTCGGATTTATTGCTGTTCTTCGAAAAAGAAAATCAGAAATTTTATGAAAATGGAATCTGGCTTGGTCTCACACAACCAGCCACCTTCGTCCCGAGCTGCCTTGGCTGAGTTAAAACTGGAGGAGGAGCTCACACTGGCCCAACTGCGCATTAAGAAGTTGGAACTGGAGGTAGAAACCTCCGGACGTATCAGCGAAGCAAAACTGAATCTCACGGAACAGATCTGTATGCTGGAGGAGTAGGAACTGTCAGTCATTTCAGGCCACAACTCCCGACCACGTTCTCCACAGCATGATGAGAAGCTGAAACGGGCCAGGGAATACCCTGCCGAGCCCGTAACCTTCAAACAACCCGGAATTCGTGTTTTGTCCCAGAGACCCTCCAACCTAGGCGAAACCGCCTAGCTTCTTCAGGCTTGTATGAGCCTTCCTGTTCAGGTTTGATGGAAACCCAACGAATTACTTCGGATTTATTCGAAGCTTTCAGACCACGGTTGCCCGATGTACAACTGACCCTTCTTGCCTCTTGGACCACCTCATTTCGGCTTGTGATCGCGAGGCTGTACATTGATGAATTAACAGATGGAACTCCTGTGAAAGCCTCAGATCCCAAAGCTCTCATCAGATTGGCTGATCAAATGAAGCTGTGTTCTACCACTCTGCAAAGAATGTACTATCAGTCACACTTGAATGCGTGTCAGACCCTAAGCACAGTGGTAGAACGCCTAGCACATCACCTTCAGGTCAAATGATTTGGAAAGGCATCTCAAATTCTCAAAACCAGGCGCGAACCAACGTTCAACGAGCTGATGTGTTTTGTTTCTGCTGAAGCAGATGCCACCGACAGACTCACCACACGACTGAAAAATCGGAAGCCAGGAAGCCAAACAGCAACGTCCGACAGGCTTCAAGAATGGCAACCCAAACCAACACAGAAAAAGATGATAACTAACGAAAGCACGCCAATGCTTGCCCCATTTGTGATGAGGTCCACTACCTCGACCAGTGACGTGAGTTCCGAAGCCAGACCGTAAGGGAGAGGTACTCCATGGCGAAGGAACATCATTTTTGCTTTTGTTTCAAACCCAACTATGGGGCGCAAGACTGCCGGTCACGAAAGGATTGTGGTTTAAAGGAGTGTCACGGCCGCCACCATCCTATGTTACACCTGACAGACCTCCCCTGTGAGAAGACAGACGACCCCACAACCTCACCTAATGTCGCCTCTGTTGGCCACGTGTCCCTTACAGTTGACGGGAACTTCCTTTGATATCCTTCCGGTCCGCCTCCGAGGTCCATCAGGAGAAGTCACTGTCAATGCCTTCCTCGACAATGGGTCGAACACTGCCGTGATCGACAGCTCGTTATAAAAAGTCACTTGGTCTAACGGGAGAAGCTACCCGCTTGCTGTTAAAACTCTTTGTGGCACAGCTGAGACGATGGTCACACCGGTACCGCTGGATTTGGTCTCTCATGATGGTGAAGAAGTTCTACTGATTCGTCGAGCATGGGTAATAAAGGAACTCCCGAAGATAAAACCCATCACCTCTTCAGACCGTGACTGGACGGCTTGGGATCACCTAAGGCAGATTCCATTTCCACCCACTAATGGATCAGACGTAAGAATCTTCATTGGAATCGATGTACCCAATGCTTACTGGGTACTAGAGCAATGGACTGGAAGGCCAGTTGATCCGTAAGCTGTTAGAGGTCCTCTTGGTTGGACAGTCCTGGGACCGGTCACCTTGAATCCCCAACACCAGTTGAAGGCGAACGTGAAACACGTCATCAAAGATGAAGGCGTACGAGAGGAATTGGAACGTTTGTTCAACTTTGAAGTTACAGAGGCTGCTTGTAAATGATACCGTCATATCGTGTTCCCAGAACTGAAGAATCCCCTTTTTATCGAGCATACTTTGCTATAAACTAGCGGTTTTAACATAAATTGGCAAACAAGCTCGTTTTCGGTGAATCTTAATTGTGTCATTAAAACACAGTACAAATGAGCACTTACAGATGGGGATATACGAGGGAACGGGGAGAGTAATTAAAATGTTCAACGGTTTGCATCACAATTAGTCCCCAATTATCTTTTGCTCGGATGTTTCATGAGCCACTTGCCAGAAATCCGACCATGGAAGGTTGAGTGCTTGAAAAAGTTGTTTTTGAGCTCGCAGAGCAGATGTGTGTGGGGGAGACGAATGTTAACTTCCTCCGCTGTGGCTAGAATGTGAAAACATACGTATATAGACCGTCAAGTCTTAACTATTCACAGGGGTTGGAACATTTCGGTTGCGTTTAAAATGTGACTAGTGTTGACAAGGCGCACCACAACCGCACTTGTGATTGAATTAACCACTCCACTTATCAACCGCACTGGCTTATACTCATGGCTACGCTTGGAAAGATGTCTAGGCGTTCGGCCAACATACTTTGCTTCACAAGAGCAAATGAAAAACTAATTATTCCAAGAGGCAGCAGAATCGCGCATTCTTTCCTTCAACTTTAGATGCACCAACGGGCTAGATGTGAATCCGGTTTGGAATTGGGCCGCGTAGAACGTTCTGTTGATGGCATATGATAAGTGTCTATGAGGAATCTCTGCCAAGGTGTCATCCTTAAATGGTGACGAGATGAACACGGATTTTTTCTCAACAATGACCCCCGTCGGAAGCGCGTCACCACAGATTCCACCGGGTACTCCAGGTGTCCATTCTGAATGAAAATATTCTGCATATTCCTAAGTACATCAACCAGCACATCTTCTTTATAGATTACTTTAGCTTTGTCAATCAGGTAGGCCAGGATGGCCATCGATAGCACAAACACCAACCCAGCGGTGGAGAACCCTGTGCTATCCAATAAGATGTTCTGAAGGAGTTGCTGATTCAAAATCCAATAAATCACCCGATCCAGACTGGTTTGAGGCTGCAATTCTTAAGGAGTGTGTTCACATAATTTCGCCGGTGCTCACAGTTCTGTTTAACCAGAGATCGAACAAAAGAATTATACATGATTGTTGGAAATCTGCCTCTATTACTTCAGTGCCTAATAGCGGAACCTCAAGACGGAGCCCTATTGAATGCACGTCTGTTGTATTAAAGCTTTTCGAGAAGTTACGCATACAAGGAATTTCATTATAGCTCAGTGGACAGGGCCTTAACAAAACTGCGTACCGTCACTCTCGCTCCACATCGATGTCTTAAATCCTCTGATCAACTATATTTTTTCTGTACTCCATGGAAATAATAAAGCTGCAAGTATCTTGTAATCCTGCCCCACGATAAATCCAAGTGATGTTACCATTATCCATTACGTTAGTTATCTCGGTTCGTTACTCAACCGAAATCTATGCTGATCTGATCACCTTATTTCTGTATTTCGAAAGGTCAGAAAATTATTGCTCACTTTCTCACTACATCTAAAAGCTTTATCCGTCCTTCGCTTCTTGATCTACCGTTTTCTTTCTACATGTTCATTTTGTCCTTTTGGTTATACGGGCCCCTTGTAATCTTCCCTGGGATAATCAAGAAGGACGTTTGGTTGCTTGCAGATCCGTTGTACTTTAATCTAGAAATGGCGGAATTTCCCGTCACATTCGCTGTCACTTCATCGTTCCAGCACCTACAAAGTCTCTTTCGTTATCCACAAAAATCGTGAAAAACATTCGCATCTGCTACACGTAAATCTTATAAGCTGTCCATTCCTTTCTTCCACCCATCCGGCTTTAATTGTATATTTGCTCGCACAACCGCCTATCGGTCTTCTGTGGTACATTACTTTGCCTCATTTCTCAGTGATCCAGAAGGCATTACTTCTGAACTAAACTCGCTCGTATCATGAATTGTTTTTTTCTTGCTTTCCACAATTCTGGTGTTATTTTACTTGATTATTGGTTCTAACTTCACTGTCTACTGAATATTCACATTCCGGGGTGCATATAGAATATACTTGAAAAACAGCCTATCACCGCATAGGAAACTAAAACGGATGTGAGGTACCCCCTTAAAATTCTGATCTATCTTAGAAAACATACCTCCAGGGTGTGAGATGCTTTTAACCGCACTCTGGGGGCCGTCGGTAAAGTGTTAGGTTTGTGGTGTGGGTAAGTTACACGAACTGATTATATGTAAGCTGCGTTGGGTGATACTCATTTATACAGCACTGGGTCATATTCATTTCGTATATGGCTGGTGAATTAGGATCATCGAAGGCGTTAACGTATCATTGTTGAGATCAGGGATCAGGCACTTGTCGACACCGGCCTATATTCTAGTTTACCATTGTTCTATCAAATTGGATTGTTTTACGTTTCAGTTACCAAACTGATTTCAACACCTATGCTATGTACTTATAAAGCGATAGATGGAGGGGGAATTTAGGAAGGAGGGAGAGGAAGATGGAGAGTCAGCTGAATGCGTAGTCAAGTGATGGTTTCTTTTCAAAAGAACAAAGTAAATTCTTCTCCCCAACATCAGTGATCTGAGGCAGCATACTAGTTTTTTTCTATTCCTCCTCCAATTTATGAATAGAACTTTATGATCTGGCTACTTTTATAATCATCCATTCAGTAGCTTTCCTGGGTAGTCATAAAAATGATGCAGTTTTTACGTGCAGCTTCAACCCCAGACATTTTTTCTCGCCTTTTGGTTAACAAATCGATTCCGATTTCGTATCCGTAGCGAAAATAGAACTGTTGTGTTTGGTCTAGGCGTGTGAATGACACGAGCGATTCTTGCTTAACCCCCCAACGACAACGCGGAGAGAGAAACAGGTTGAGACACAGTCAGTGTGTATTCCTTGCTAAGTTATCGATACGCAAAACATATAGAACTAATCGTGCATTCGAGAACGGCGCAGTGGTGCACCAATCAGATTGTGTCCTTGACATATCGATTGATCGATTGGACAAAACATTGGCTGACATGTTCTGTGATCATCCAATCAGGTTCAGCCTGTCTGGAGCGTTGCGAGCGTACGTGTGGCCTGACTCGGAGGCGTGCGCGAGCGGACGGGTTGCTTAGGCTCCGTCCTAACACCTCCCCATTTTGAGCTCGACGGCTGGTCGTAGGATCGTAATCTCGGGTTGATTTGGAACGGCTTTGTTGCTGTGCGTGTGTGACCTGTTTGTCGTCGAGGTTGCAGGGTTTCTTCGGCCTTTACTGAGGGTGCTAGGTTTTGGGACTCGTGACTGGGAATTGGCATGGCGAATGTGTCCATTAATATGTCCAGCGAAAATTTTGGTTCGGGGTTTGGTTCAGCATTGCAAGCTGTCGGTGTCAGTTGTTTGGCCTGCCGCACCCACATTTCAGAACCAAATAAGATTTCGTAGATGACCTTTCCTCGGCGTCGATATACTCCTCCAAGTGTCCACCTTTCTTCGTTATTGCGGTAGTCCCTCGCAAAAACATTTTGGCCCCTCACAAACGCTCGGTCCCGCGTACCATGGCGGCGGTTGAACTGCAGCTCCATTGCTGTAGGGCGAGCGATTTTCAGGGGTGTTTTGCTCTGACGCTCAGGGAGGATTACGTCGAATGTTGTACGAATTTTTCTTCCAAACATTGCCTCGGCCGGAGATGCACGGTCGGTGTGTATAGATACAGATTGACAGACGCTGTTCAGGGGTACATCCAGAAGACAGGATTTTTCAATCCAGTCGAGACCCATCAAATTCAAACAGGGTCTGTTGGTGAGGTAACGGGTTCCTTTAATCTGCATGCCTTTGAACGAAACGTCACACGCAAGCTCACCAATGAGATGTAGTTGTCCGCTAGATACGTTCAATGCTTTCCTGCTGGTCAGATTAAATGGGGGTCGCCCGAGCGCGTGCCAAGTTCGTTTTGAGACCAAAGTTATGTCAGAAGCGGTGTCAATTCGCAGGCGTACTGGCTCACTATTGATGCGGACAGTGAGATACTTGCGCCTTTTTTCATTTCAGGTTCGACAGAAGACACAATCGCTTGACTTTTGGGTTCAAACTTTGTCGATGATGATTTGAATCGACTTGGCTTGTGACATCCCTTTGACGTAGAAGGATGTTTGATGTGACAGTAGTCTTCTTTGTGTCCTCGTTTGCGGCATTTTTGACACGTGTTTCTTGAAGGGACAGTAGCGTGCGTAACGCCATTCTCCGCATTTCCAACATGCAGTGGGGGGTCTTTGGGTAACGGCTGCTTGCGGCTTTCGGGTAGACATTGCCCGCGGCTCCGTGACAGCATGGACATTGGATGAAGCTGTAGCCGGGCTGCGTTGCTCAACGATGGCTGAGTCATGTTTGAGGTTCTCGAGCCGCTGGCATTCGTCTGTTAATGTCCGTAAATTGATGTTAGGATCTTGTTCGATGCGATTTAGTAAACCAGTGCGGATTTATGCGTCGCGGGGAGACTGAAGTGCGCACACAAATATCAGGCATTTGAATTGGTCNGAATTGGTTATCAGTCATGGAACGCAACTTGAATTTCTCGCACTCCCGGTTCACAATGCTGGCTAGTGTCAGATAGTCATCTGTATCATTTTTCGCCAATTTGAGGCAGTGATACCGGATACTGAACAAAGACGCCTTTTCACCAAACGTGTTTGAAAGTTGTTGGACCGTTTCTTCGAAAGTGAAATCACGTGGACTTTTGGGCAGGATCATGTCGGTGTAACGATCATGTTCTTTGGTTCCCAGCTTTCGGAGGAGTAGTCGCACCTTCCATCCATCATCAGCATCTGCGAATTCAAAACGGAATACATCTTCCCAACGTTTGAACCAGGAATCAAATGTAATTCCTGCATCGGGGTCGTACAGGAATTCAGTGATGCTTGCGGCAACAGCGTCCATAGATGTAGACTGTTTAACCGGTTTTGCTGGATTGGGATG